TTTTAGCACATGTACCATTCACCATAAAAAGTTCATGATTTTGTTACTTTTGTGTAGAGCACATAGCAATGTATTTCATAATGAAAGTGTACACACTTGTAGCCACCACCCCTATGTACACACGCATTTCTTTCCAGTTTTTTTCGAAAATTTGAAATGTGGTTTTTGAATTGCTCAAAATTTCGAGATCCATAGAGCCCGAGAGGATAAAGTCCACTCTCGGAGTCAAGCACGACATATATATTAAATTTACAACAATAAAATGCAGTTTTCTGGACTTCAATCAACCACGCCTTTTCCAACTAATTTTGTCCAGCGAACGCGTTGCATCGCAGAGGGTCCATTCTAATCTTGTGCGGATATGAATATTGTCTACTTGTGTCACTGTTATCTGAATACTGTGAGGATACTGTGATCACACATCACAGTGATGCCCATCCTTCTGAATAAATGTCCGGACAACTCTCCAGAGGCATAAGCTAAGATTATTACCATCTCAAATTGCAGAAGCAGCGGGCAACCAGTGTCGATCACCCTCCAGATAAAAAACCCTAGAAAAAACACACCCCCAATCAAAAGGCGCACACGTATCATGCCGGATCCTGTCTGCGTGTCAGGAATCAGGAGACACGGTTTATATATACCCACCAGCTCTGTCAGACTGTCACATACCACGTACACACGCGCATTGTTTATGAACCACTAATCGAGCCCGATTATACTAATCCGACGTGCTCATCCAGCCAAGCAAGCAGGCGCAGATAAACAGACTAAATAAGCCATGGATGGAGGCTTCGGGAGCTCCACATCGCCAACGGAGTACAATAATGGAGGACTGAGGTCACGGAGTTAGGTCAGCGACCGCTTTCGCCGCTGAATTATAAACGGAATCAGGCAGGCGCCATTAGTTTGGTTCGATCAGTGGTGCCGACTGATCCAGAGACAGCCTGGGTGTTTGTAATAAACTAGTCAGTGAAATAATGCTTGCATCGGCAGCATTGCTATCCTCTTTGGAAGCATCCAGCGATCTGCTCAGGATCAGGATTAAAAAAAGTGCATCTCTGCATCTGTAAGCAGATTGGAGGTTTATACTAGTTTATCCAGAGTAGTGAGGATCACACCCGGGATCCATGAAGTTACGTCAATCAGAGAAGCGGCATGTAAAGAATTGGTTCGTTCTCTGCCATGCGGACGTGAACATGCCGTCTGTCAGTGTGGAGGAAAGGGTTCAATCATGAATCGTGGCTGCATATATGGGCCATCATGTCAATCGGCTAATGTTTGTCTACTCACCATTTTCCCTGCATTTTTAAAGATGTTTACTACTCCCCCCCTAAACTAATATACTTTTAGATCACTATACTACAGAGGAATGATAATTAAGTGAAAACAAGCAATACAGTTTATTTTTTGCGAGGAACAAGCAATACAGTTTAGAGAAGAAACTTATTTTGTCCCGAACAAGAGGAAGAAGAAGGAACTCTTTCCCGATAGGAAAAGGAAGGAATTCAGAGTGTAGTTAATGAAACTGTGCACTTGTCCTGGAATCAACTTGCCCCTGATTGTTGAGTATATTGATTCATTAGGAAACATAAAGTAGATCTTGTGTTGTACTTCAAGTTAATTATTGTACTTCTATATAGGCTCAAGCAATACAACAAATATTTCATTAATTCGCTCTCTCCCTTCTAACATGATATCAACCTAACCGATCCAACCCTAGCCGTCGCCCGCTGCTTCCATTGCGCGCTGCCTCAGGATGGTCAGTCTCCATGACCGTCGCCTTGGGCCGTGCCGCCGGTCGTGTTGACCGGGAGTCTTTTTTCCGAGCCCTTGCTTCGGATTTTTCTCACTCCCGCCGGTCATCTTAATCGGAGTTTTCTTTTTGGTTTTTCGATCTATGCTTGATTGCTTTGCATCGTCAGCCGCCGCCGTCGACTCCCGTGCGTCTATTCCGACGCCATGGCGACCGGCCGGCTCCTTCCCGACCCGGCGGCCTCGCGCGACATGTGGCCTCTCACGGCCCTCGTCTGCGCGCCGGCCCGTCCGTTGATCTATGCCAACCGTCACCGCCCTTTCCGACGGGAACACCTGCATCGTCTTCACCGGCGGCCTCGCGCCATGCGGCGGTCAATCATAGCCGCCGCTCGCGCGTCGGCCCGTCCGTCGATCTATGTCGACCGTCACCACCCTTTCCGACGGGAACACCTGCATCGTCTCCACCGACGGCCTCGCGCCATGCGGCGACCAATCATAGCCGCCGCTCGCGCGCCGGCCCGTCAATTGATCCACGCCACCTGCCTCCGCCTCGTCTGCATGGCGGCCCTGCGGGTTGCCTCGCTGGCCTCGTCCCTGCTGCATCGAGTCGGCTGCGCCAGGCTCTTCTGCTGCCTCGAGCTTGGGCGTCACTGCTCCGTTGGTCGCTCGAGTCTCACTGCCCGAGCGCCGGCGTTGCTTTGGCGGCCGGGTGCCGGTGCTGACGCGCTCGTCCGCACGTCGTTCATCGTCGCCGGCTTCATCTTGGACTCCGCCGCCACCCCGCTTCCATCGAGCGGCGTCCCCGACCTTGCGCGCTATCGGATTGATCACCAGCCCGCCGCCGCGATCCGTCTCATCTACGCCGTGAGACCGACCTAGCCCGTCGGTTGCATGTGCCTCCGCAGGTCCCATGAAGATTGTCCTCCAGTTCCGCGCGCCCCTCCGCCGATCGAGCAACGGGCTGGCGCGGCGTCGCCCCGTCGGGCCGCAGCACCGTCACCCAGTGGTTCTCCTCGCGGCTGACTCGTGCGTCGCCGCGATACGCGGTCCCAGCCGCGGCCCCGAGGCCATCCCCGCGGTTGCACCGACCCGCGCTCTGCCGCTGCACCGCCACTTTTGGGCCGTAGCGCCGCGGCCTACGGTCCCTGCCGCCGCCCCGAGGTCTTCCTGCCATCGCCCCGACCTGCCCGCCTCTGTTGCGTCGCCCCTTCGGGCCGTAGCGTCGCGGCCTGCGGTCCACTCCGCCATCACCGCGCGTCGACCTCCCGTGATAGGCGCGGGAATGTCACCATCCGCGCCGGTCTTCGTCACGCTGTCAGGGTTCTTCGCCTACTTCGAGCACCGCCGCCGCCGGGGATGTTGAGTATATTGATTCATTATTAGGAAACATAAGATAGACTAGGATTTGTCCTGCCTTGTCTTGTACTTCAAGTTAGTCATTGTACTTCTATATATATGTCCACGAGGCTCAAGCAATACAACAAATATTCCACCAATCCCCTCTCTCCCTTCTAACATTGATGCTTCTTTAAATCAGCAAACCAATCAAGTACTCCCTCCGTCCTAAAATTCTTGTCTTATATTTGTCTAGATACGGATGTATCTAATACTAAAACGTGACTTTGATACATCCATATTTAGACAAATCTAAGACAAACGACAGAGGGAGTAGTAAAAAGCATTCACTAGTCGGCAGTACGTAGCAGCATCTTCTCACAGTAGGCTAGATCCTTTCCGTAATTTTGACAGTCAGCACGTTCGATCTTTATCTGCAAGCGCGTCCAGCTCCAGCTTTCCGCCTACTCCTGGATGGCAGGGAGGGAGGAAGGAAAGATCGGCAGAGGGGATAGATAGATAAGCGTCTCGCGTGATCGATGATCGATGCCTACCGTCGTTGCCGACGCTGAGGAATAGTATTTCTTTATACCCTCTGTAGTTCTGACCGATCCACGCACAGGTGTCAACCAACGGATCAGGGTTGTATATTTTTCATGGCATCTTGAGCGGGCACGCGCGTCCCGTTCCAGCACGAAACAACCCTGCACGGCTACGGCTACGTGCGCGCGTGCATGATTGGACGTCACGGATCCACCTGCACGTCGACCGAAGCCCCGACGATCAAATCGAATCGCAGTCGCACCAAGAAAATCGGAGACGAAAAGGAAACGAACGCGCGGTCGACGGGTCAGCACGCCATCTCTTCTGCTTCCGGGGACCTCGCGCACGCTCACGCTCGTGCAGCCGGCGCGCACAGGGGTAGGAGCACGCTGGCGGCGCTGCCACTGACTGCAGCGCCGCGCGGCTCACGGGCGAGATCCGGAACAGTTGTATCCGGGGCATATTCCTTGCCCCCGCGCGTGGCTGGCTGGACAGTGGGCGCACTTTCTTTTTCTCAGCCCATGGGCCATGACCGGATCTGGATAGGCCTGGATGGTCTGTCTTCTCGTGTCGGTTTTCTGCCCCGGTCGACGCCCGGGGACGAACCAACACCGATCGAGCTCGCTGGAATCTATCTATCTATCCGCGCGCATTTCCACATCACCTGTGCCATGCCATGCCATCTGAATATCTGATGGATCCGAAGCTGTAGGCAGCTCTTCAACAGAACACGTACCCTAGCACTGCACTTGCCTATTGCTTACTTAGTCTTCTCCACCCAAGACCTACCAACCCCCAACAACACGTACGTACGCCTAACACACACGCACATAACTCATCGTCGTCGTCTCATCATCGTCCTCATCGTCGATCCGTGGATCGGCACGACACGACTCATCCTTATCCACCACGTCCCCAACGCTCAGGCTCAGCTCGCGCGCACGAACGAACACCCCGCACCGCACCCGTACCACCACGCCGCCGGTCCCGACCCAGACGTGTCGCGACGGCACGGGCCACGCGCGCGATCCCCTTCCCGAAACGGAACGCCCGTCCGTCCGCGTCAGCCGCCCCCGTCCAAGCGGCCTGACGTAAGCCATGACAGAAGCGGCGCCGCCGATCGGGGCTCCACGTGTCCCCGTCAGCCGGTCAGCGCCCGCACCACGTGTGCCCTGCCCCGCCCGGACCACACGTGTCGCGCCCCTCGCCCCCTATAAATCCCCCCCGCCTCGCCCGGAACAAGTTTCAGGCCTCCTCTTCTCCCTCCTCCCCAGAGCAGCAGCAGAGAAGCGAAGAAGAATTCAGCAGCAGTAGAATTCAGAGCCGCGGCGAGCTGATCCATCCATCCGACGGATCGACCGGAGATGAGCGGCGGGCAGGAGCTGAATCTGCCGCCGGGCTTCCGGTTCCACCCGACGGACGAGGAGCTGGTGACGCACTACCTCTGCCGCCGCTGCGCCGGCGCGCCCATCGCCGTCCCCATCATCACCGAGATCGACCTCTACAAGTTCGACCCCTGGCAGCTCCCAAGTACGTTCTTCACCAATCCTCCACGCGCTATATGTTTTAATCTTTGGAATTACTAAGCATGTTCTCGTGATCTGTTGTGCAGAGATGGCGCTGTACGGCGAGAAGGAGTGGTACTTCTTCTCCCCGCGGGACCGCAAGTACCCCAACGGGTCCAGGCCCAACCGGGCCGCCGGGTCCGGCTACTGGAAGGCCACCGGGGCCGACAAGCCCGTGGGCACCCCCAAGCCGCTCGCCATCAAGAAGGCGCTCGTCTTCTACGCCGGCAAGGCCCCCAAGGGCGAGAAGACCAACTGGATCATGCACGAGTACCGCCTCGCCGACGTCGACCGCTCCGCCCGCAAGAAGAACAGCCTCAGGGTAAGCACACCAGACCATCCATGCCAGCATCGATCGCAGCACTAATTCCAGTATCTTCTACTAATAAATCACCTTATTAATACTGTATTAATTAAAATGAAATCGCCGTAGATAGATTAGATCGACGGGAGATATTTTAGCGCGATATTCCCACGATATGCCAATTACGACGGCACAGTGGATTGTTGCTTTCGAGATGAATGGGCGGATAGGCGGCGCCCGTGGGTTTGGGCCGCGGGATTTCGCGGCGGATGGGCCAGGGGGCCGCACCCCGTGCAACTTGCTCAATGATTCGCGCCGTGTGAATGCGTTCGATGCCATCACCTCCTCATCCCTTTCAGTTTGAGGGCCCATGATCCGTCCGGCCATGCGAGCCCATGCGACGGCGACGGCGCCGACGGGAACGCCGCTGTACCGGCTGAGAGCATCTCGGCAACTGGCCGACTCGAAAATGCTAAAATAACGAAGCTTTTCTAAAATGATTCCACTGGTATAGTTCGTCATGTGTGATCTGTGATCGTTTGTCTGACATGTTTGTGGTTTTGTTCCGTGCAGTTGGATGATTGGGTGCTGTGCCGCATCTACAACAAGAAGGGCGGCATGGAGAAGCCGGCGGCCGTGGACCGGAAGCCGGCGGCCATGGGCGGCTACGGGGGTGGCCCTGGGGCCATGGCGAGCTCCCCGCCGGAGCAGAAGCCCGTCATGGGGATGAACGCCAACGGCGGCGGCGGCGGCGGCGGCGCGCAGCCGTTCCGGGACTTCGCGGCGTACTACGACCGGCCGTCCGACTCGATGCCGCGGCTGCACGCGGACTCGAGCTGCTCGGAGCAGGTGCTGTCGCCGGAGTTCCCGGCCGGGGAGGTGCAGAGCCAGCCCAAGATCAGCGAGTGGGAGCGCTCGTTCGCGTCCGGCGGCGACCCCGTGAACCCGGCGGCCGGCTCCATGCTCGAGCCCAACGGCGGCTTCGGCGGTGACCCGCTCCTCCAGGACATCCTCATGTACTGGGGCAAGCCGTTCTAGGCAGCGAAGAAACCGATCGGTCGGTCGAAGCGAGTACCTCCTATCCTTGGCGTTTGGGGCGATGAAACGGGCGAGCCGCCATTGTTGACCTGATGAAGGGGAGATAATTTAAGAGGATATTAGACGGGAGATAAGACAAAATCAGGTGCTTGATGACGACGACGGCGAAGATCGGAAGGTGGCGGCGATGATACCGTGGGTCCCCGGCCTCTCACCACGTGACCGACGACGCCCAAGATGCTTCGAAGCGTTCGCCGCATTGCATCATCGGGCGGGCGGTCGTGCGCTAGCAAGCAAGCATGTGTGTGTGTGTGTGTACATACATGGAAAAAACATGATTGGTTCGGTGCGGGGTTGCTGTTTCTTGATTGGTTAGTTGCAAGGGTTTATTGATAAATTGATATATAGTACCATACCAGTGCTAGCTGTAGTCCGATGGTAGTGTAAGCCATTCATCAAATGAGACCGAATAATATATTGTTCTTACCCCTCCACTTGCTGAGATGCCTAGAGAAAAATTCTTCCTCGCTGAATTAGGCGAGCTGCGGTTGGTGGTCTCGGAAGAAAAATTGGTGTGTAAACAGTGATTTTCTTGGCGTATTTACCTACTGCCAAAAGAACATGGTTCACCGACGTTAGCTAGCTGCATGCGCTCCAGCTGTGGGGGAGATAAGCTTCCGTACGGAGGAAACGTGTTTGTGGCCGCGCCTTCCAGGAAAGAGGAGGGGAAAACGTGACGGTAATCAGCGGCAGACTTTTAACCTTGGACGCACGTACGGCTGATGCTTTTTTTTAGCATCAGTAGCGCTTATATACACGTGCATACACTCACCCCTATGAACGCACACACGCATATCCTATCCCTATGAGCACCTCCGAGAGACTGAGCCGGCATATCATTTTAAGATTTATGAAATTAACGTAGACGTCTCGTAGTCAACGGAAACGTCTCCTCCCACTGAAAACGCATCGCCAAAAATCCTGAAATAAATTCAGAAATAATGCGAGCACCAGGATTTAAACTCTGATAAGTTAGAGATACCACTGTTCACGTAACCAACTCAATCACAGATTAATTCGCCGTACGGCTGATGCTTATCGGGGAAGACCATGTGCACGTGTGTGCGGGCGGGTGGACCCCGAGAACTCACGGCGCCGTACGTGCGCCTGGACCGACTGATCTCCACGTTCACACATGGAATGGATAGATCACGTTGGAAAACCTCGTGCTTATCGCCTCCGATCCGGTCCACCACACTATTCTCAGACAGACACCCGAACAAATCTACACGAGCGCGTTTTCGTTGAAGCACGCCACAGAACTCTAGCGAAAAATAAATACAAGTTGGTGCTTTTTTCTTTTTGGAAAACTTTCAATCTATTCCTCTTCAACCATGGCAACACAATGAACAACAAAAATAATAAAAATTATATCCAGGTCCGTGGACCACCTAGCGACGACTATAAGCACCGAATCAAGCCGAAGGCGCGCCGCCGTCATCGCTCCTTTCTCGTCGGAGCCGGACAAAAGTTGTTGTAGTAGACAGTCGGAAGTCGTCGTGCTAAGACCCCGTAGGACCAGCACAGCAGAACAGCAACCGCCGCCGATGAAAAGTACTGTAGATCGGAAGGATCCAACCCGAAGAAACACAAACGTAGACGAACTACGATCAGATCCGAATAAATTCATCAAAAATAGATTTGTCGGAGACACAATTTCACACGCCCACCGATGATGCCACACACCACCGAAACGGGGGCTAGGCGTGGAAGACCTTATTCCATCTTCAGAAAGCTGCCGCCGTCTCGTTTTCTTAAACAGAACACAAACCCTAAATTTTTTTGAAGAAACATCTAAAAACAAATGCCTCCCGCCAGCAAGGGCCTGGATCCACCGCGCTGTCATGGTTCTAAGGTCACCGGAGACGAGACGAACCGGCGACGGCGCCAGCAGGAGGCGAAGTAACCCTAAGCTTTTCTGCGGAGGATGCTGCTCGCTAAAATTTCTCTCCCCGTCTCTTGCTCTAATACAAGTGCTGAATGCAGGGATTCGGTGGCTAGCATTTTATTTTAGCAGTCCAACTCACGACTGCGATGACTCCGGCTGGATCGCTGGGATATTAATTGGGGAGGGAGTCCAGGTACTCCGCACCCCGGAATGGCCAGAGCTGCGGCGGCCGCCGCCGTTGTTCCGCGGAGACCACCGCCCTGAACTGATCCTGCTATGGATGGATGTGTGCACACTGCTTTATGCCGAGGACGAAACGGCTGACTGCCACGGCTGGGATGAGGTTAATCTGGCATATAAAACCAAGCGGCGGCGGCATCGCCTTCCTCGAACTTTCGTCTTGACACCTTCGTCGTCCACTGGGCCGGGAGAATTGCTGCTCCGCTTTCTGGGGTTGAGCGGCAGCGGTTTGCTGTTCGTGTGCTGGTTGTGTTCACCGGTTTGAGCGGAAGGTGGCGCTAGTAGGTGGGGCGATCCGGCGATCGATACCCACTTCGCGAATTTGCAACAACTAGACGCTTTGGGCATGTATATTAAGTTCAAGCGAGTGACCAAGAGCATCTCCAATAGTCAATAGATGATTATCTTACATTATCAAATTGTGGTCGGAGTAATATAAACCATCTGGCTTTTTACATTATCAAAAAGCTCTAACTCCAACGCATAATGTAAAACAGGGCCCTAGTGCTTGATTAAGTGATGTAAAATAAGGCATTCAGATAAATAAATAAAGATGCAACATACCAAATTCATTTCAAACAAACATAGTTCATACTACAATCATTGCAACCACTACTTTATACTAAACCCGGGCAGAACAGCCCGACCCGAGCTTGGCCCGAAAAAACAAGGCTAGGCCGACCAGGCTTGGCGTTCGGGCTGGGCTCGGGCCACGTTTTGCAGCCTGGAAGATAGTTCAGGCCGCATTCGGGCTTCACATTTTTTGTATTTTTGGCCGGGCTTTCGGGCTTCGGGCCGGGCAAGCACGGGCGTGCACTAAAAACCAGCGTACGGGCCGGGCTATGGGGCTTGATTTCAGGCCGGGCTTGGGCCATGTTTTGTAGCCCGGAAGATAGTTCGGGCCGCGCTCGGGCTTCATTTTTTCTGTATTTCGAGCCGGGCATGCACTAAAAACCAGCGTTCAGTCGGGCTTTGGTCTTCGAGCTTGATTTTGAGGCGGGCTCGGGCTTGAAAACTGTGAGTATTTCAAGCTTCAGGCCGGGCTTGAGAAATGAAGGTCGGGCTTTTAATAGCCCGGCCCGACCCCACGTTTGCCCGGTTTTACTTCATACCAATTCTACCTGAACTACATCACCCTAAATATAAACTACTTGTCGGACTCGGTGTCGCTCAGGAACGAGTTCCAGAACGTGTCGGAATAGAGTCCTCCTCCTCGTCGGACTCGTTAGGGATCACCGTCGAGGGGTTAGCCTCGTCCTCCTGCTTCATATGCTTCTTCTTCTTCTCGTCTGCACGCTTACAGTAGAACTCCAACTCGTTCGGAACATACCGTCGATTCTCCGGCAAACCTTGCCATTGCCACTTCATCACTCTCGCCAGGAGCAATGTGGGTCACAGTCTTCTTCTTCTCGTTATTGATTGGCCGAATGCTCACATTCTTCGGCCCAACGAATTCCGCTTGCTCCAAAATTTTAATCTTCTGAAAATTCATCTCATGAATTAGCCGGCTAAAATGCCACATGAGAATGTTGTACGCACACGCTGAGATGTCCCCGGAGTCGAAGGTGCTGAGCCAGTAGCGGCGACCGTCACATCAAAACTCAACATCAAACTTGCCGGAGGGGAGCCGCCACACCCCATGAAGGCCGCCTTGCCCTTCAACGGCTTCGACGACATGACGGCTGCGCAGGTGTGGCGTCGATGCGGTGGTGTAGACGGAGTGCGGCAGGGTACCGTGGAGGTAGTGCGGCGTCGGAATCGGGCGGTGCGGTTGTGTGGCGGTCGATTTAGTCGATTTGGGGCCGTGTGACGGTGGGGTAGGTGCAGATCCGACGGAGGGGGTGCGGCGAGTGGGTTTCAGCGGCGACACGGTAGTTGCGTGTGGGTAGAAAAAATTGTAAGTTCAGGGGTCTTTGGGTGTTCCTACGACTGGTTTGGGTTTTACTCGAGCCGCACGAGTGATGCAAATTTGCATCACCAACTGCCCTATTTTAAGACACGGAGAAAAAAGAGTAATTTTTGTCATCTACAAGGATGTCACATGAGCAAAAAAGTGATGTGACAGAGCAATTGAAGAGGAGAGTAAACTAACCACAGTGGAAGCAACTTAGCTAGTAATATAATGCACCCCAATGTAAATTTTCTTATGTAGCAAGTAATTAATGATGAGAGAGATGTTTGTGGTAACATGATATGTTACCGTAACATATCAACATGGCACCCACAAGGTTCGGGTGCGGGTAATACTCACCCAGACCCGCATCTGTCCCAATATTTTTTGCCCAAACCCATATCCGTACCCGCGCCTTGGGTTTCATATTGTTCCTATACCGTACCACCCACGCGTAAAAATACCCATCTTTACCACCTTTCAATTTACATTTTACCATATATAATTTCATCATTTCAGTATGTAAAATATAACATTTTAGCATCTATATTTAGCATTTCATCCGAGGCGAGATGAGGAGATGGGTTTTGTGATGGCGTGATGGGTGAGGGAGGGGAGGATGTTGTGTGCGAGCTGTGGCTGGATTAGGCTAGGTTTTACCCTTTTAGTGAATGGCATAGGGACCTACGTGTAGGATGTATTAATATGTGGGTAGACCGTATCCGTACTCGACTTACCAGATCGATATATTTTTTCCCCATCTACAAACTCATGCGTATTTAACTTTCACAAAACACTTACCCTAATAAGGTTTTTACCCATCTGGTTCGCAGGTAGCGGGTACCCATTGCCATGTTGAGTAACATAACTAATCTGAAGGCAAAATGAGTCTACATCTACAAATGAAGACTTACATGATAC